TCGCACTGAGGAATTTCTTCCTAAGATCCCATTCTTCTTCAACTTAAATCCATTTTCCCTTGTCCTGTCGATGGACACTCTTGTAAAAAGTCCCTCCCCAGCCTCCCTGTAGGTCCCTTCAGGCACTGCAGGCAGGGATGAGGTCCCCCCAGAGCCTTCTCCAGCTGAACAACCCCAGCTCCCTCAGCCTGAACTCGCAGCAGAGCTGCTCCAGCCCCTGGGTCATCTTTGCAGCCTCCTCTGGACTTGTTCCAACAGATCCACGTCCCTCTTACGGTGGGGACACCACAACTGGACGCAGGATTCAAGATGGGGGCTCACCAGAGCAGAGCAAAGGGGGAGAATCCCCTCTCTTGCCCTGCTGGCCACACTCCTCTTAGTGCATCCCAGGACAGGGCTGGCCTTCTGGGCTGCATCGGCTCATGTTGAGCTTCTTGTCTATCAAGACCCTCAAGCCCTTCTCTTCAGGGCTACTCTCAACCCACTCTGCACCCAGTTTGTATTTGTATGTTTTTGTAACCAGCGCGTCAGCTGCAAGAGAAGCTGTTGAGTTGTCAGGGAAATGCAAGAAGAGCTGGTGCACAGGCAAGTTTTCAACAACCTAATGAGAAAAGTATCACCTGATTAGTAATCCTTTCTCATCATTAATGAGCCACTTGCCGTGTAGCAATTTAAACTATGAATGCAGGTAGATACTGCTAATTTCTTCAAAGGCTGAAGGTAGGAAATGTTTTCTTTTTCTTTTTTCCAGCCTGCTGGTTGATAAGGCCGTGCTGATGAGCATAAATTCCATCCTTTTGTATTCTTACCCACTACTTCTCTACCAGTTGCCCCAAAAAGACTTTTCCAGCCCTTTGGCTGGAGCTGATGCGAGACTCTCTGTTGCTAAAAGCTCACCCTGGCTCCGTGGCAAGTGAAAAAGCAGCGGTTGATAATCTAACACAAATCGGAAAAAGGAGAAATCGCTTCTGAGCTCTTAGCAGTTGCGCAAAGAGAAATCACAGGAATTTTCCAGGTTGTGGTTTGTAGCTCATCTTTGCGGTGAAGTTTTGTTTTTTCCTGCCAGAAGTCCAGAACAGTGTAGGACATCCACAACAGCATTCTGACAGGAACACATCCTCACACCACAGCATCCATCTCCAGACTGCCACCAAAGTACCCTTTTTGCTCTTTTTACTCAATTTAGGGCTACAGCCACTCAAAAGACTGGCAAAACCTGCAAGTTTCCTGGAGCTGAAAGTTTGGAGGGCGTGTTGTTTCACACCCACATCAGCACTTGCTTTTAGACTGTGTAATTGGTTTTTTTTCCCCTTTGTTACTATTGATCACAAATCCCTTGTGCGGAAAGAAGTCTCTCCTCAGGTGTGTCGTCTCTCCGACTTTCTGTCCCTCTTGGAGCATGTCTGCAGAACTGGGGCTTCGAGTCTCAATATTTTTGTATCACAGTATTTTTATGTTTTGTTTTCCTTTAGATGATGATCTGTAATAAACCTCCAAATAAGACAGCTCCGGAGAATTTGGGCGAAGCTGCTCCCGAGGTGCAGGTCCACCGCGCTCGAAGGAATGGCTGGAGTTGGCCTCTGCACCTTTTCCAGGTTATCGCCTGGTTGCTGTACATCTTCTTTGCGCTGGTTGGCTTCGGAGTCCTCGTTCCTCTGCTGCCCCGCCACTGGCTGCCTGCCGGCTATATCGTATCCTTTGGTCAAGAGGAGGACATGGGCTGTAACAAACTATCGGTGGGATTTTTCTAAAAACAGTTGTTAGGTAGCATAGAGAGTGTAGGAGAAAGCAGCTGAGCTGGAACCTTTTTCTGAACTATAACCATAATCTTCTGTCTATAAAAACCAATTATTTTGGGATCCTCTCTGCCCTTCAACTTTAGGTAGGTCACCAATGTTCTGCTTGTCTCTTTCATTGCTCTCTGTCAACATTGCTGTGTTTGCCTCTGAGGCTCTTCTGCCTCTGTGTCTCCTCTGCTTTATATTATTCTTCTGCAAGTGGGCTGCAGGCTTTGAGGGAAAGCGTACTGAAAAAAAACCCTTCTCAAACAGCTTTGCCTCCATGGGCAGCCACACCTCCCTGTGCTGGCTGCAGGAGTCTTGAAGAGCAGCTTTATTTATGGTCATACGGTGTGGTTGCTTGTGATAGCTGGCAGTTGATCTTCTCTCAGGGGCCTCCCCTGTCCTCAGTAGAAAAAGCTGTGAGTGAAAGACGAGGTGGTGTAGTGTGAACCTCAGAGGAGCGAAAGCCTGGGGCAGCGGTTTAGTACATGTGGAACTGTCCTCGAAATGTGGGCAGTATCAGCAGACGAGGGGCTCGTTCTCTGAAGGTGTCTTGTCTCGTGTGCTGCATTGTCTGGGGAGCAGCAGACTGGAAGAGGCTGTCCTGAGGTTTTCAATTCAGTGCTTGAGAAGCTGGTGAGGGTTTATAATTTGTGAGCAAGCGTTTGCTTTTGGCATCTCTCCAGTAACACCTTCCTGGTGAAAACAGAATTGACTGAGTGGCTTGATGCCACTTCAGTGCTTTCGTAGCAGAACCAGGTAACCAAGAAATAGTATAGAGAGAATGGTGGGAAAAGTTCTGAAGAGATGGGATACACACCTACATAAATCAGATGTATAAATTATGTATGTCTGCGGAGCCTTTGGCATGTTTAAGCTACTTTTGTCATTACACCTGCATGATGTAGGCATTAATATTGTCAGCTCATGGTGGTCTTTCATCTACTTACCTCACCCAGATCCTTGGTGTTATCATGGTTGACACGTCAGGAGTTTGTCTACCGAGTATCTTCATAATTCAATCTGAAGTCACTCTAATTCAACGGATTCGTGTATCCCAAAGTTTTGCCACCAGTTAACAAAGCACTAATGTCTCTTTTGTGTCAAAGGCAAATCCCTTCCCATTCTGCTGCACCAATCGTCAGTCCTCCAGCCAGCAAGACCTCTCAGAAACCTCCTTTTTCTCCTTCCTACCCTCCTCTAATTTCCGTGAGCCTTAACGTGATCAATTATGGGCACATCTGGGTGTACAACAAGTAGAAGGTTAATTTTTGCAGGCGTGCTCAGTGGTACTCCAGGCCTGCAGGGCTGCTGCTTTATATTTGCGTTATTCTTACATATTTGTATATTCTTTCCAAATATTGGCACTTACTCCAGGTGTCTGGTTAAAAGTACTGCTAAAGTGTATTTGCTCTGACTCGTTACTGCATTTAGAAGTAAGAATCTAAACAGAAACAGTGGCAAATGCTGGGTACCGATACCCTCCGTCTGTAAATTGAGTAGGAGCCTGCTCTTCCTTGGGATTCCCACTAAGGATAAGAAAAGCAGGATATGATCAGTGCCGGTTCCTTGATATGACTTTCTTTTTTTCTTTCTTGGAAGTTTGGTCTTGTGAAGGGGCGTGCGCACGGCCTTAACTGGCCCTTCCTTTCCAAGGAGTCTGTGTGGAGTAAGAAACGTGGACTTAACATCAAGAGCCTGCACGTGAGGTCAGGTTCTGGTAAGTAAAAGTCATTTTTAAAAATAACTCCTGTGCTGGGAAGGACATTTCTGTGAGGCAGAGTAGTATATAAGAAGGAGGGTTGTTCCTGGAGATTTAGTTACCTTTTTCGAGAGGATATTTAGTACAAATATCTCTGTTAATAAAGCTCAGATTAACGTGCTGCTATTAGTTCTGTAGCGATTTCTAATTCGGAGCCTTTTCTCTCTCGTCTCTGTGGGCTTTGTGTATTAAGGATATAAAATTACGTGCTGTAAGTTGCTCGTACAATCCTTAACCGTGTACTCCAGTGTCCAGGAGTGTGTTTTATCTACCATTTAGTTGTTCATCTTACTGCAGTCTCCATTGACCCCGCGGATGCAAATGTGCGAGAAAAAAACTATCTAGGGCCTCTGGCCACCTTCAATCGTACCCAGCATGCGCATGTCATTGAAAACCATCATTGCCATGTCTGTGATGTGGATGTGTAAGTACCTCCTCTTTTCCTTCTACTACGCCGTCGTCTTCACCATTTCGCTTCACCGTTAGTCTTTAGTGTTGGACTCTAAGAGTGGAATTGAGCCCCCGGAGCTCCGTAGCATGAGTTAAACCTCATCCCATTTCAAGGGGCAGCTGGTCTGGCAGGTGCCCACCATCAAATGTGAGCGTGGTTCTGTGGTTTTTTTAGTTAATTACTCCCATGTGTGGAGGGGTCTGTACTGTTCTGTGTTATTTGGACCTTGGTGTTTGACCTAACAATGTGCAACTTGTATGTGCTGATATTTCTTGGGCTTCTGGAACTGCTGAAAGGGTTTCAGATAGGAAATTGGTGATCTCCAAATTAGAAACGGCGCAGCGCGTTCAGAGTCGCATTTTGAAGTGTTTGGCGCTGTGGTCCAGCGATATGTTGAAGCATTCCTGATGGAGAGAGCTTCCTCACTGTTAGCAGGATCTCTGCTGCTGTATCCCCTGGGATTTGAGTCACTGGAAAGTCCCGGTAACGAGCTGGTAAGGACTGCCACGCTAACGCCACCTTTTCTTTGGCAGGAGCGCCAAGTCGAAGCACTGTGGAACTTGCAACAAGTGTGTGTGTGGCTTTGATCACCACTGCAAATGGCTCAACAACTGTGTGGGAGAGAGGAATTACTGGTAAGAGCCTGGCATTGTGTCAGGAGCGCAGCACCGCGTCAATAATGTCACTTCTCTTCCCAAGAATCTTAGCCTGATCTGTGCTCGCACGCACGGAACTGCTTTTCTTTCAGACCCCGGCTGAAGAAAAATCAGCCATGAGAAAAACAGATGGAAAATGCACGCGTGGTTACGGCGTTCACGTTAACCAGGGATAAGAATCCTACACTTAGAATTTTGTAGCTAAACATCTATGAGTAAAACCAGAAAACACCATCGTGTTATTTGGCGTCAGGAGAAGCTTATGGGCTGTTAACTGCGTGTCCTTAATGCTTCCGAAAGCTGGAGTGGGAATAGAAGCGCGGTCGTGCTGTTGCCGTCTCTGAAACATCCTGCAGCCAGCCCGCGTGCTTTCCTTACAAGACTTGCCAGCTGGCAGAGGTTACAGCAGCACCCCTGCTCTGTGCCAGGTTTGAGATAAAGAAGCAGGCTATCACTGGTGTTGCTTCTCTGCAATAGTCCTCTTCCTGCCCTAAAGCCATGTGAGGAGCAAAGAGTTGTTGCTGCCGGGTGCCACGTTATGCTGCCGTCAGGTTTTGTGCAGGGAGCCCTTTGTCTGGCCTAGATACACTTGGCTCTTTTGTCACCGTGGTTGCCCTAAGGGACGACCATTTAGTCCCTCAGGGTAACAAATCTGTTCACCGGTATCTACCACAAGTGTAAGAAAGCTGATTTGGGCTAGCTCCACATCTCCATCTTCAGTAGAGGCTGGGATTTTGAATTGTGTGTGTGATGGATTCAGATGGGACGTGAGGAAGAAGTTCTGTCCCCCTGAGGGTGGGGAGACCCTGGCACAGGTTGCCCAGAGAGGGGGTGGCAGCCCCATCCCTGGGAGTTTTTCAGGCCAGGCTGGATGGGGCTCTGGGCAGCCTGAGCTCGTGGGGGATGTCCCTGCCCATGGCGGGGGGTTGGAACTGGATGATCTTTAAGACCCCTTCCAACCCTGACAGTTCTAGGATTCTGCGATGTTATTGGAGCCGCTCAGATTTCTCCCCTTTTCGACAGGCTCTTCTTGAATAGCGTGCTGTCTGCCATCCTGGGCCTCGGGCTCCTGCTGCTCATCGCTTGCTATGTCTTTGTGGAGTTCTTCGTTGACCCCGCGACGCTTCGCTCCGACCGGCACTTTGATGGTACTCGCAGTGCTTCGGTTGAGCATCCTGTGAATCGGCCAGATACCGATACGGGATATTGATACGACATATGGATTAGGGATTGGATTCCGGGGAGGGACTTTGTTCCTTACGTCTTCGGTTCTCTGTTTCTGTGAGAGTATCTCTGCTTGGCTGAGTGGAATGGCTTTCCTTACCGAGCTAATTGCTCTTCCTAAAAGCTTCGCAGGCGTCAGATTTCTTAGCCCTCCGCCACATAATGGGTCTGCAGCTCCTTTTGAGTTACCGATATTCCCAGCTGTAAAGTTTAGTTAGAGATATTTAACGCCTGGACAACCTGCTTACCTCCAGCTCTGTTTGTTTTGCAGCTCTGAAGAACCACACGGACCGCTGGTTTGTGTTTCTTCCTGCAGCTCCCGTTGAGACCCGGGCATCTGCTATTTTGGTCACAGCTGGAATTTTTATTCTTCTGAGCCTAATGACCGTGATCCTCCTTGGCCACCTCTTGACCTTCCACATCTATCTCAGTAGGTATTCCTGTCGTCCACCTCCCTTTATTTTTCTTTTTCCTTGAGCTGCTTCTGCTCGTTCCGCGTTCCCGCTGTGTTCACCAGTGTTACAAATCTACACCCGTTGTGCGAGATTGGTGAAAAATTTGGGGTTTGATCTCAATTTCTGATAGAAGACCTGACGTCAAGGTCACTTGATGGAAGTTGTACCGTATGGACGCAGAAAGACTTGTGGCATTCAGAGCTTTTCAGAAAGGCTCCTCATTTCCTCTCCTGCTCATTGCTGTGTCAGGAAGGGATATTTATGTTTATTTATGTACCGACGGCATCAAAAACCTTATTTCAGCCATCATCTAAAATGGAGCCAATGCTGTTTGGCTGTCTGACGTAAATCACGATGAGAAAAGATCTTAACGCTTGCGGCAGTCGGGGGTGCCAAAACTAAGGGAGAAGGGATGTGGTGTAAGAGAAATGAGGACAGCGGTTACAGAGGATCCTTGGATGGATTTTTTCGGTTGTCGATTGACAGCAACGTGGATGCCAACGCAAACTAGGTCAGCACAAACCAGCGCGGGTCCAGAAATGCAACAGTTGCTCTGCTGAAGCGTAGCGTCGGATGGGTGAGCATTCCTGACGTCGCAGTCGGTGAGGTTGTCGGCCCTTGTTTTCCTTTTCCAGCCTCTTTTAACTGAAATTCGGTCACGCTGCAATTTTTGCTTTCCCGGTGGGACTTTGCTGGGTTTAATGGCGATGCCTGGAGATTTTGAAGGTCGATCTGGCACTGCCAAAAGACTTAAAAGCCTAACAAAGCTGAGGCCCCTCCAGGAACGTTTCTTTTGGATGAGAAAGAAAGGATTAGTCAGTTTAGTCCTGCGCAGTATTTATCCTGTCTTTATGTCCAACTTCCAGAAGAGGGTGCTCCCTCCTTAGGATAAAGACAGGCTTTTTTCCCCTTGTCTGACAGAAACGTGCGGATCTTCCACTGTTTTTCCGCAGGGTTTGGGGGATTTTTTTTTTGTCGCTTGGGGTGCTCTTTTGTCCTCTTTTAGTAGACGTTTGTTGAGCGTGCGTGACGCTTAGAACTGGGAAACGGGGAAAGCGTGTCTGGTTTAAACTCTCCTTTCGCACCTGTAATTGCCAGTAGCCTCATCTGAATGCTTTAAATTAAACAGTGCTGGAAGGAACCAACTTTTGGGACTAGAATTCCAGTTTACCAGTTAAAATGTAGTTATTGTTCACAAGTGTTTCTTCATAAACCTTTATGGTTTTAAATAGGGAAGTTACAGAGAGATAATAGCCCCCCTAGGAGTGGTATAACATTAAAAAAACCCCAAACCTGGCTCAAGTCAGGTATGACTTTGAAAGTTTTAGAATCTAGTTTTGTTAGGAGCGCGCTGGAATTTTCGAAATTGCCGTCCTCGTTTTAATTACTCATTGCTGTCGCTCAAAAGGAAGGAAGGAAGTTATTCTCGAAATAGTAGGTCCATGTATTCAAAATTGCCAGTCTGGGTTGAGACTCAGTTCTAGAGGCATTCAGTGAAGCGTGGCACTTCAGAAGCTTGGAGGGAGGGGGTTTATTTTTTTCCCTTCAATCCTCAGAGGCCAATAGTAAGTAGAATGAAAAAAAAAAAATAGTAAGGAATATAGGATAGTGTACGGGATTTTCTCAGGCAGTGGTTATGTATTGCACAGTGTGTGCTGCAGCCAGACAGCTGCAGTATTTTTTAACTAAATAGCTCAGAGTATTTTAAAAGTTCCGCTGTTAAGTATTCAGAAACCAACAAGCCCGAAATTAAAAAGGGTTTCTAGCTCTTTGCTTCCGAAGCAATGTTCTATTTCGCGAATAAAGCATGCAGTACCATTCTAGGAGCGTTTGCCAGCATCCTGCGCCATCCTTGTTAAGTGCATTCGTTTTTACGCTCTGTCTTCCTGGCCAAATGGATCTGGAATTCTTATTTCTTCGTGAGGTTATTGCTTTAACAGGAGGGACACCTTCTCCTGTGCTCTCCTCCGCTTCCCTGTGGAGCGGTTGTGTGTTTAGGGCGTGATTTTGAGAAGTAAGATGTTACTGATACTGATGTTTTCAGGTGGAGGAGGGATTTTATTCTGGAGTTGACATCTGCTTTAACTGCTGTGCTGCTGCTCAAAAGGAAGGACAACTGCCAGGCCGTGCACTAAAAAACCTTCAGCATCCATTTCTGGGATCTGTGCTCTAATAAATACCGTAACAGGATCATCGTGGGAGGAATGTCTCGAGTTTTGGATCCTCCTAATGTTTTGGATCTCGTGAAGAAAGCGGGCTGCTCAGAAATGTCACGTGCTTTTGGTCGTTCGTGGAAGCAGATGTGTTTTGAGAGGGGACGACCTTAAGAGCACATAAACTCAGGCACTTGTAAACTCTGACCGCATCTGTGTGGCACCAGGCAAGTTGGACGATTAGTGCTCGCTCATGAAGCGTCTCAATCTCCTCTACAGGACACGTTAACCTGCTGAATTTCTTCTCTCCGTTTAGCGTCACGTACCTTTTGCTGTTCACTGAGCTTTCTGTGTGATACAGGTTTGCTCTTACTGGGTTTGAATAATTGATTTGCTCTGAAACGAGCTGAACAAGTGACTGCAGGGTGGAAGTTTGTAGCACGTATATGAGGCTCTAGAAGAATAGTGGGACTATGAGAAAGGGTCGTGATGATGATGAAAAAGGACATGGATATGCAGAGCTAAGGTACTTTGGGCTTAAGAGTTTCATGTTTATAGGTACTATTTGATTTTATATTTGATAAGTGTAATCAGGGAGTGCTTTTCCTGCGCTGACACCTCTCCTTCTTTCCTCCCAGTGTGGAATAAATTGACTACGTACGAGTACATCCTGCAGCAGCGTCCCCAGCAAGAGGCGAAAGAAGTGGACAAGCAACAGGAGTCTTGTCCTTCCCAAATGAGACCCAGTCAGGTACTCCTTGTACTTCCAGTCCATTTCTCATCAACAGCTCCAAAGGTCAGAGGCTGTTGTGAAGGGAAGACTTTAGAGGTTCTTTGGGGGAGTTGAGTAGGATGTGAAGGAGCGTAAGGCCTGTGATTCGATGAATGCTTCAGGCATAAGCAAGTGCTGCTCTCCGAGGAATCCATCTCACCCACTCTCTTCCTCCACCGCTCGTTTTGGGCCCTGCGCTATCTGTCCTCTTCTGCCAGCGCAGCTGTTCGTTACAGTCACACAGCGAGCAGGGCGGGGGAGCTCATCTGGGTAAGAATTTCATTTAAAAAAAATATAGTTGAGCTCGTGTCGAGCTGGACCAGCTCCCTCCCCATTTTGGTTCACCAAGCAGTCACCGAAACGGCTGGGTCAGCATGGAGGAAGGCGACTGAAGAGTGAGAAGGGTCCTGTTGTGACTAATAATGCCGATAGTTTAAGCCATCTTGAGAAGGAAGAGGGCAGCAATTGGGTTCAGGAAGGACCCAGGTAGTTGCTTTTCTTTGAATTGAGCTACTTAGTGCTAAAAAGGGTCCTTGTCCTTACTGTGGTGTTGATCTGTATCTCTGCCGAAAGAGTTCTACAAGCTCCCTAATGCTCTCACACTCCTGTATAATCCGCTATGAATGGAGAGGGTCAGAGTGATTTGTTTTGCTGCAAGGCAGCTCTGACCCTGGCGTTACTCAAAATTCAGCTGGACAATTTCTGTGCTGGCTTTAACGAGGGGCTGGACTAGAAGCTTCCAGAAATTCTCCCTAGTCTGAATTATTCTGCCCTTCCCTGTAACTTTTAGTTTTGTGCAAGTTACCTACTATGCAATCAGGTTTTGCAAGAAATCAATGAAATCTAAGCTTCATCTGGATATTTTGTGTAGAGATACTGGGACTCATAAATTGTTTTTTTCCTATCGAAGCAAAGGGGCGAGGGAGCTCTTTGTGTATAACACGAAGACCCCAGCTTTTCATACGCATTTTTTTTCACGGCCTCGGAAAAGTTGAACTTTCAGTTTACACCGGGGTTTCCATAACAACAAAAATATTTGGCGTGTGGTCTCACGGAGCTTCACTTCTCATGACAATTAAAACAATAACAAAGCGCCGGCTCTGATCGCTTCCTAGTTACCGAGTTCCGATCGATGCCGAAAATCTATTTCGATGGGGTGGCCTCCGTGTGCGAGACGGAGCCGTTCGGTGACGTCCTCCCGTCTGTGCTGGTGTTTTATCTGGATAACGTGTGAACGTTGTTTAATTTGAAGCAGCGAGGGTGAAAAGGGAGTTCTGCCTTCCAGGGCTGCAATCAGGACCTCGGGGAACGGGAAAAGCTGGATGATGCCCGGTAGCGTTGTGAAGAAAAAACGTGAACCCACCAGATTTTCCTTGTTTCTCGCGTAGCAACCGGAGATAAACACAAACAAATAGGTTGGAGGAGGAGCACCCAGAGTGACTCGCCTTTTGTAAGCTGGGCTGACTGCAGCCTTCTTCAGCTTGAACACAGGAATCCTTTGTAGTCCATCCATAAAATGGAAATTGTTCTCTTCCCGCTTTTGTTTTAACTGTTCCTTCATTCCAGGGCCTAAGCAGAAACGTGTATTTCCCCTTTAATCCTTGTTTTTTTGACCCTTATTCAAGCTTGGGTGTTGATTTTGGCTTCGGTTTTCCCTGTTCGCCTTTTGGCTGTGTTCAGGTTCAGAGATTCTTGCTCAGGTTCAAAGATTCTTATGTGCTTGTCAAATCCTTCGCAGGATGTGCACAAAGTAAAAAAAGCCCTAATTTTGCACGCTTGAGGGAGTTCAGATGGCACAAAAAATGCAAAACAGTTGAACATGTAAAGCTTTTGCCTCTATTATTATACCTGAAGCAGCATGTGCAAGTAACAAATCTGTTCTTTTTCTGTAGGCAGTTGCAGAGCAGCCCGAAGAAATAGAAACTAAACCAAAAATGATGCTTTAACCCCTAATTGCATTCACACCAGGGAGCTGGCTTTTGGAATGAGGCCGGCTGGGAGGTGATTTTATTTTCTTGTGTGTTCACATCTGAGCTTGCTTTGGACACCGGTTCAGGTGGGCGAGGTTTGATTTTCACTAGTAAACACAGATTTTAGTCAGCTTCCCTCACACCTTCGCTATTGCTTCGCTCTTCCAACGGCTGCTGGAAACGAACCTGGTCTTCACCCTCAGCTTGTTTTCTGCTGATCGAGCCTTCTTCCGTTTGCTTTTGCCAGCCGGCTCGAGTGATTTACTTTCTTTTAGGAGGTTGCTTTGGTTCTACATAATTTATAGAAGGCTGAAGTGAACGAAATGGAATTAAAAAGCTCTTTCGTTCCCTGCTCGAGAAGAAGTCGTTCATGATATTCTCAAGGTGCATCCTTTATTAATCTCGTTTGAAACGCCAGCCCGGCAGTCATGTTTGTAGATGCTGTGGATGTTGAATCCTGATGGTTTTCAGTCTGATGAGGATATCTCCTGCCGCAACCGCGCCGCGCCCTCCTCGAAAAGACCCGCATCTCCCCGCAGCGACGTCAGATCGCGTCTGGTCTCCTTCTTCATGACTCAGGTGCACGGGGCCCGAATGCAAACGTCAAGAATTTTGTCCCCTGAGGAGATTTGAGGAAATGTTTATGTACACGTGGCGGTCAGGTGATGCCAAGCAATGATCTGAGTTCCAAGCTCTGTTTGGTTTCTGCAGGTTATTAATCCTGTGCTTGAGTAAACTCTGCCTATAATAGATCTAACTAGTGCAGTTCTCAAGTTGAAAGTTCTAACGCTTGGGATTGCTAAGGCAGTTCCCTTCAAATGTGATGTTACCACCTATAAAACACCTGCAAATTCCTCTCCACCTCTTTTTTTTTTTTGGTCTTTACAAGACCTATTACAAAACACCGCAATCCTGAAGTCTCCCCGGTTTGGCAACTCTCTTATTTAACCATCGCCTGGAGTACCGTGACTCGACACTGGTGCCAAGATGCTCCAAAGCAACTGGGAATTTGGGAAGTGTCTCTCCTGGCGCGTGCGGAAGGCTGGCCAAAGTTGACCAGACAAACGTGCCAGCCCTGACGCTGAGAAAGAGAGACCTTGAGAAACAGAGCGGGAGCCGCAGCCCGCAGTGCCCTCTCCCAGTGCTTGGCACCGTGTGTCAGGGTCTTGCTGGAGCACGGGAGGGTTTTTGCATTTGCTGGTGTCTCACAGAAACTTTTCTCCTTCCTTCTCAAATCCACGTACTGTTCAGCACCTGCAGCATTCAGAGAAGCCGGTGTCCAGGCTGCCGATGAATTTATTCAGTAACTATTTTCTATTCTCTTCTTTTTGCCTTTCCTTTTCATTCCCATCACCTGAAATGATTTCTTGGCTGCCACTGGAAACATGCAGCTTTTCCCGCACGCGTCACTTTATATCTTCACATCCAGCAACATTGCATTTTGTTGCTGTTTCATCGCCCCGTAAGTCCATATTGCAAAAATTTCCTGCAACCCTTTTGCAGTTGGCTTCCATTTATTTTTTTGTTGCCTCATGTAAAGGAGTATCATCACCAGACTTCGCCTCAACTGTGCTACTCTTTTATTTAGGAATTAGTTGAAGTCTAGGATCTCTCAGGAACCCATTCGTGGGATGTCCAGCTTTGACATTTTGGCTGTTCAGACAAATAGGTCTTGGTGAGCTTGTCTAAGCTTTTTGAAGTTAAAAGACGTTTTTGCCGTTCACTGCCTAGTTCCTATGACTGGACTGTACAACTAATGGGAACCTTTAAGTGATGTCTTTGAGCGTGCTCCCAAGAAATGATTAAGCTGGTCTCTGGAAAGGTGCTTGGATTTGATTTCGAGTGTCATGAAATACTGATTGGACTAAATGAGTGAATCAGGGCCTTCTAGTTGTCTCAGTCAGGGCCTTCTAATTGTCTCAATCTTGGTTTTCCATCTCCTTAAGCAACAGACTCGTGCTGAGTTTCAGCTGTGAGGACAGAAAATGTCTCGCTCGTGGCTGAGGAATGAGAAAGAGGACATGTCTCTTGTGAAACTCTCCCTTCGCTCTGTATCCAGATTGGTCTGAAAATGTTAATTTTTCAAATTTTTCTTTTTCAGGAGGCCAACTTTGTTTCCCAGGGTAACCTGGGATATACAGACCCTGGTATTCAAGTGGAGGAATTCTCAACAGTGACTTCAGGAAAAAGGTGAGTCAAGTCATAGGTAAGAGTCTCCCAGCAGCATGTGTGGTGGATGGGAAGTTGTCATTGATGGGACCCTAAGACAAAAGTCCTTGGGAGGATAGGGAGCAAAGCATGTGGATGTTTTGACCAAGGCACATGGAAATCTTTGCGGTTCAGGCAGGTAAATACCTTCAGGAGTACTTGCCTCGCCTCCCATGAGAAAATATCTTCCCTAGAACACTCCTGTTTTATATTAAGATTCCTTTAAAGCTGCCTGATTTGTCCCGGATTTCCTGTGCTGAGCTCATTACAGTTACATGATTTCAGGTTGTTGTTTGCAACAGCAAAATATATAACACAGGCAAGGGCTCCTGGGGAAAACGGCATCCTCACCTCTTAATTAATCCTTGCCTATTAACTCGTGTCCCCAGGAAAGGGAGAGGAAACCCTTCCTATTTTTGTACAGTCTCTCAGGAAGACTTACCCGGGGGTTTTGCTGGGAATGCTCTGCAGGGCAGAGGATGCTTTGGTTGGGCTGGTTTAATATCTGTGGGCATTGGGGTTAAGCCTCATCTAAGGGAATCGTCTCGTTTGTCTGCTGCACGTTTTAGCTTCTCTCAGCTCTACATCCGTGATGAGGAAGCTGAGCTTGGACAGAGTCCTTCCCCTGACCTCCCATCTCTCCACTTCGCAGTCCCTTCTCAGGTAAGCAGCAGATTTAGTGCCTCTTCATTTCTGAAGAGCAAAATCCAACAGTTTATACGTTCAAATACAGATGTTAAAGCTTCTGCCCGGGAAAGGATGACGTGTGTGGAGATGACAGTTGTATCTAGGTCTGGATTATCTCCTGCCTTGCTCAAACCACAGGTAGTGGTGTTCTCCTCCTTTCCTCCAAGCTTATAATCAAAGCCTTGTCATCTAAAGGATAAGAAAAACTCTTTTTGAGCTTTAATTGTGTATCAGACAAGAGCTGTCTCTCTCTTGGCATGTCCTGTGTGGTGTGACTTTTGGGCCTCTCTTCTAATATGACTCTACAAATGTGTTCTTTCACCAGTATCTCATACATGCTCCAGCTATATGAGATCACAGCTTAAAGGTACACGAAGATAAAAAATGTGTTCATTAAATACCCATTCTCCATCATCGTTTTATCGTAATTCAGTCTTAAACTATCAAATATTCTTGGCCTTTGGTCATACTAAATGCTCATTATTGAAAAGAGGAGGAATTAAAAAGAGGTAGCAATTTAAAAAAAAGGACTTACTGCTTTGGGCTGATGAAGCCGCTTCCCTTCTCTGGGGCCACTTGCTTTCACAGCGACAGAAGAAAAGAAGAAAGAGGACTCATAAAGCTGCTTCCTCAGCGATGGACAGCGGGTCTAAACCACATGCTGCACCTTGGCCTTCTTTCCCGGATCCCCAGTCAGGTGAGAGTGCACCAGTTGGCTTCTCTGCTTCTGGACTGGGTTTCTCATTGCTGACACGCAGAAATGAAATATGGTGTGAAAACCCAGTACTAGCAGAAAGTTAACTTGCCTACAAAGGGAAAATGAGTACTTCTGGGCGCTCGGAGATAACTCTTAAAATGATCAGAGTTGGGTAAGCTGCTGAGAATAGAGTTCTGTGTATTTTCATGTTTTAATTTTGGGTGGACTCTCTGTAACACCAGTAGATCAGCCATTAGCAGAGTTGCTGGGCTTGTCGTTGTCTCTGTGGGGCTGCGGGATCTTCCCCTCCCTCTCCTTCAGCCTTTTTCTCGCTTTCTTTTCATGTGTAGAGTTTCCTTTTTTGCTGCTGCCTCATCTTCCCACCGGCTTCGCCTCTCGGTGCCAGCTTTTCCTCTCAGAGCTACTGTCCCCTCCCACAGCATCGGCTCCGTAGAGGGGGTGGGACCCTCGGCTGACTGTCACTCGGAGTCCGCCGAATCCACGGATGAGATTCCTGTGGCTCAGAGTCGCCTCGGGAGCACAGTCCTTCACGAGCCTCCTAAAAACAACTCAAGGAACCCTCAACACTGTCCCTTGTCCACAGACAATCCCAGAGGTGAACGGAAGAAGAATCTGTGTTCTGGGCACAAGGTAAAAAAGAAAAGCTGCCGGCAAGACAAGCGCGGGGAACGAGGCGTGGAACTTTTTTCGAAGATCCCTGCCGTGTTTGTGAGTAAGAGCAGCGGGGAACCTCCCGTTTCGCAGCCTCAGCCCAGCGAGGGCACTTCCGAGCCGCAGCACAGAAAATGCACCAGTAAGCGACGTGTGGGCAGGCACGACCCGTGCTTTAAGGACATGAGGACGAACACCACAGAGGCCTAGCGGTCAGCTTTCCAAAGCCATAACCTTTGGGCACGAGGCAAGAGCTTCTCTTGCTGTTCAAAGATCTCGACTCCGGCAATGTGGTCTTTTTTCCCTTTGCCTGACACTGCCCATCTTCCCGCAGAACAAGCTGAGAGGCAGTAAAATCCCCACCGCGCCATCATTTCTGGCTGGTCCCTCTTCCTCAGCTGGGATTGCCCCGAGCCTGCATCCACATTCTTCGTCGAGGGGGAACAATCTCCCCTCGTTGGGACATGCCTGGCGGCTGCTCCTGCTTAAGGACTGCGGCGTTAGTTCTCTGCAGAGCACTGAGGAGCTCGGCCTGGCGCTCTTTGCTTGCTTCCCATCTGCCTACGCCCTGGCAGTCTTTGGGTCACGTGTAGGGGCTTCTGCAGGTGGTCGGGGAGTAACCTCAGGATCGCCCTGTCCCTGTAACTGCTTTTCTCTGTGTGCCCTCGAGCCAGCGTACGGCAAAGCTGGAGCTGCTCCACCTTCCTGGCACCCTGGGCTGCCCCACAGCGCAGAGCTCGTCCTGAAGCTTTAGGCCCAGAGAGTTTTCTTTCAGCAGAGAGAGGCAGGAAGGGGCCTGTCGTGTGGGGAAAACCTCAGCCCGTTCCAGGAGCACCCTGGAATACCGACAGCTGGCGCAGATCCCTTGGGAAGCGCCCTAGTGCTCGTGCAGTGGATGTTTAAAGTAGCATTTGACTTTGAGGAGAAACTGAAGTGCCGGGGCTGCTGCTGGAAACGTGTGATCCTCACCAGGATGAAGCTGAAGGAGGGGAAGCGTTTGTGGGGGAAGTGTGTCACAGAGATGAGACCATCCAGGTGGAGCGCTCCCGGGGACAGCCCTTGGGAAATTCTGGCGAGTGTAGAACATGATCACCAACGCTGGGTTTCTTTAGAAGGCTGCCTTATCATCCTTCTCTTGTCTGATGTTTCAATCCGGAAAGAGCTGGAACAAGGAGCTTTGACTCACCGTGGAAGTACCGCTGATCCGCAGAAGTGAAGCGCTGAGCACGCCTCGTGTTCTCTTACCCTCTGTCCAGGCAGAAAAGTCATTGTGGAGCTCTTTAGTAGCTCCATCCACAATAAAATTTTCTATGCCCTTTGCTAAACCGTTTCCTCCTCTTTCAGAGTCATCCCTTTATCTGCCCGCTTGATGATCGTACCCCACAATTTCTCCCTCCACCTCTTGATGTCCCAGCTGGGCTCAGCACCTTAACCTGTGCCTTGGGGTGACCACGGTCCCCGCTCTGTAGGGCCCTATGGGTTCTAGGTGGGACGGCCTGCCCTGAGGGGTCAGGGGAAGACCACCTTCTCCAGGAGGTCCCTAACTTCAGCCTGCTTTTGTACGCGACAGCCGGGTGAGGACACCAGGAAGGAGGCTCGGCACGTGCCACACTGCAGGAAGGCTGCTGTGCTCTTTGGGGGGAGTGGAACCAGGTGCCCTGGGATGTCCAGGGAAAGGTCTGTCGTGCCCTGAGGTGGGAGGTTCTGAGCACAAGGTGGGAAAGGAGGGGATGTCCTAGAGTTTGCTGGGACAAGGCCAATTTGGATGGGGCTTGGAGCTGCTCTGACAGGAGGTGTCCCTGCTCCGGTCAGGGGGGTTGGAAATAAATGATCTTGAAGGTGCCGTCTGACCCAAACCACTCTATGATTCTGTGATGACCTCCAGGAGTGTGGGGCTCACGGGGAGCGGGAGCTCACGCTTTCTCGTGGAGGACACTGAGCCACCCTGGGGACCCTGATTTTGGGAGTTTTTCTGGGTGGGGAAGATGTTCTTCGCTTGCCTTCAGCGGAGACCTACAACCTGGGCAGGATGGACTTCCTCCTGGGCGGTGGGCAGGATCGTGTGTGCCACATGGCATTTGATTTTTATTTTTGCCTGGAGTTTGTGTTTTCACCACAACCACGTTAAAGGGGCCCTGTTGAAGATGCGTATCGAGCACCCAAGAGTGAAAATGGTGAGACTGTGAGACCATTCTGGCTCCTGGGAGAGCTGCTCTCTGCCCCAGGTCAGTTCCCAGCCAGGGTGAACCTTCACAAGGGTAGTTCAGCGTCTCAGCTGAGCCGCTTCATGCCGGGAGAACTTCTCACAGATCCTCCTTCCCCAACTCTTTCAGTCCT